GGTAGTGCTGAGTAAAAAGAACTGTCGGCATAACCGTGTTTAATAGCCAACCCAAACAGAAGTATTGCTTCATTTTCTGCAGAAGGCTGCTGAAACATGTTATCAGTTCAAAAATCATGTTTGAAGGCAATTCTCATAAAGTATGGAGGTATAGAGGGGATCAAAATATGTTAAGCATGTTTTATGAGGTGTTAAAGAAGGCTGAGAGTTATGGCGTTTGAGCAGATAGATACGTTGCATATATTTCTTGAAAACAGAACCCAAGTTAACCCAGGAAAAAAAGTTTACTAGCTTGGAATACTGATAGGTCATTAGTTTCCACTGATTATGACGGGTCAAGTGGCAAAGTCTTGTTACAGAGCAGCAAATCACTTATTCTTGTTTTATGAGAGTTCAGCTTGAGGGAGGGAACTTATCTCAAACTCAATACTTAAGAGCAGTCATGGTTCAGGTATGCTGCCTCCTTGGGCACGTCAGCGTTATACAAAGGGAAGATCACCTGCAAAGTTCTCGAAACCAGTTTGCATGACATTCATTTTTAATAAACACGTGTAACCTTATGTGGCCTGTTCTTCTCTTCTTCATAATATAATACCATAGACTGGGTTTTAAGGGCAGCATCCTCTGTGACTCTGTGACTTTTATAAATTAACAGAAGTGGAATGAGTTTAGTGGAAATAGAAGCAGTTTACAGCAATTTTCTAAGACTTTCTTCTATTGACTCACAGAGACGAGACGTAAGTGCTACACGTCTGACAGAAAAGCAGCTCCTGTTTTTTTGGAGGGGACTGGAAAAAGATGAGAAAGTTTCCTTCCTTTCAAACCATCAAAATAAAATCTGGATGATTGTAGAGGTTGTAGTGGTGCCTTTTTTTTGACAAATAAATAAATACATTTTTGTTTTAAGATGGGACTGATTCATTTCTATGAATGGACTGTAATAGTACTGTAAAAAAATAACTTTTAATATAAAAAAGGGTTAAAATGGTGGAGAAACAGCAAATATTTCAGTCCATGTACACTGAAGCAAACTGATTAGCCAGAAAATGTCTAAAATGTCTAGTCTATATGGCGCAGTGCCTGGCTGTTTGTGTTGTGACGTTACAGGTAGGTCCTTGAACCTGGGCAGTGACTCATATCAGAGTTGTTTACCCAATTGGAGATAGGAGGAAGTGGGACCAGCTTGCCCTACAGTGTCCATGGTACAGCTGGTTCAAACACATTCTTTAGGTGATCTACAATCTTATTTATTTACATCAATGAGGGTTGAGTAAATAATAGAAACATCTCTCAGTGTCACATAATACAGCTCAAACTGCATCACAAACTACAGCTTCCAGACCATACCGTTCAATCACCACCTCTTCATGAAGGTGGGATTTATTGCAGGGCTGTTCTTTTAGACTGCATTCATTTTAGCTGTAGGTGTAAACTGGCAACCAAGTGCATATCAACACATTCTCATTTTACTCACCCTCCCCGTGAGTAAAATGAGAAATGAAGAGCACAGGTCACACTCCTGTGTTGCCATGCATCCACCCAGCTAATATTTCAGACAGCATGGAGCAACATTATTGTTATAATTATTAGCTGCAGGAGTGCTGGGCTGTAGTTCACAGTGACCCCTGACCTCTGTGTGCCCAAAACCAGGGCAGTCAGTCTAGTTATCGGTCTTCCAGTTTGAACTGTTGTCTACTAAGAATGACCCTATTTAATAGACTCAGATTGTCTCACAATTAAACATACTATCAGTAATAATAAGGACTGACCAAAACAATGTTCTTTTGCTATCTGAGACACTATGATGAATGATTTCTGACACAGGAAGTCTCTCCAGATACCACAAAATTGTAACATTGCTACAAAGACACTAAAGCTACTAAAGATTTGATAGAAAAACAAATTTAATAAAACACTACTGTTTAGACTCCTCTGCCGAGAGACAAATGAAAGTCAGAAACAATGGGCTGCGTGTACACATTTATTTATTAATTTATTTTTCGTGAAAATATTCTAAATGATCCAAAACAGACTCCTCTGCATATAAAATGCTCCAATGTGGTGAACAATGTAAATAACTTAAAATAAACGTGTGTCAACAAACAAACAGTCGTAGTATCATTTCTGAGCAGCCTTTTTATGCAAATAATTATTCCAAAAAGTTAGTGACCCAAATGGAACAAATGAAAAATTGGTCATAATACTCTTGAGACACATTTTAAAACTTTAAAAGTAATTTTTAAGACGACCCTTCGTCACAGACACATTAATGCAAAATATCTGAAAACCCCTGGAATATCTGGAAAAGCCAAAGCATTTAACAAAACGGGTTGTTTCTCAACATCTCATCAAAATAGTAGCCAGTATTTTTTGTAGCATTTGAGCACCAACTAGAAATACTACAGAAAATAATTGGCTCTTTCATATGGTATTCAGTTTTATTGGAGGGTCCTATTACAGCCTGATCAACAGTGGCACACATTAACCTCCCCAATATAAGTTTTATCACTCTAACTTGATCAGTTCTGCATAATGTTCATTATTTGGCAACCTCCTTCAGCCCAAAGTCAGGGTAGAAAGGCTGAGTGAATGTGGTGTGTACTGTGTAGAGGAGAGTCATCTTGTGAGAAACACTATGAAAAGGACAGAACACCCGCTGTATGATCCAGGTACCCTCCGATCCTGGAGGACTGAGGGCCTGACACCGTCTTGCTCCATGTGTTTGGGGAGTACTCTCAACTCCACAACAGTTGTTACAGCTTTCATTCGTCAGGACAGCAATCTGATGGAAGAACAAAGCAGGAAAAAAAACATAAACCTTCTAATATTCAGTTCGTTATTAATGAAATGGTATATTGTAAAACAGCAGCAATTTTGACAAGAATTTAAAAATGTTTTATTTGTTTTAATCATCAATTTCTCACACAGATTCACACACACACAGTTTCAACCCATACCCGGACCTTAAGCACAGCGTTGTCACACCAGATATTAAAAGAGGGCAAACATAAGTACTTTAAATCAGTAACCAATACAGCCTAACCATAAAAAAATAAATGGCTGTGCATCATTATTGGTTATCAGACACTGATAATGTTTATTACCTGACAAAATACTTTATATACATCACTGAGGTCTTTAACAAATCAGCCGTTATAAAAATGGAGGAGCATTATCTACACACATTTATTCACTTTACACAGAGCTAAAATGAAAACCAATTTATGTCAAATGTTCGCCGAATGAGTTGGTGTCTGTTAATGAGCAGTAGGAAACCATAAACGATCTTTTAAAAAAGGTGCTCGGTTCTGTTTAACACTAGGTAAACAGTGCAAAGCAAGCTGATTGCTAACACAACCTATATTTACTTTTGCACACACTGTGGTATGGAATCAAATGTTTTACTCACAGTGTAAGAACTGCCCCCTGGTCTTTGGCACAGGTGGCAGCAGAACATCTATAGTACAAAAAAAAATAAATCCTAAATACCACTAGATTTGAATAAAACCACTATATAACTCTGGATTTTGACATTTTTATCAGGTACCTGAGGCGGAGATCCTGGGCCGGTTGTCATTCACAAGGCGCTTTATGTCGTCCCTCAGCTTTGACACAGAGTCAGTCACAGTTTTGAACGAACGTTTGGGACAAACAACAGGATCAGGAAGCCAG